TAAAATAAAATAAAAATAAAATTGAAACTTGAAGGTTCTCCAATCCGAGCATAGTAACCCTCTGATTGGGGGACCAGTTCCGCTGCAAATTATGACAGAGTTTTGGAGTATTGTTTGAGGTCCACACGGACCGATGTACAGAAAAGGCGAAACAATTACTGTACACACTTTTGGACTAACGAAACTGCTAAAATTTGTTACTGCTACGAGGCAATAATTGTAGCAGTACATTAATGATTTAGTTTGAAGTAGATTATCATTGGTAACGTTCAAGTTTTTTCATCCAAATTTTAACTCAATTATATATTCAAAACTTGTACCATTAATTAAACTAAAATAATTTTGTAAGATAGTTTATATATTAGGCAATAATCTAATTATTGTTTATAATGTATGTTAAAATTGTTTTGTTGTAATTATATTAAGAGTTATAGTTAATTAAAGTAATTTTCAATTGATTAATAATACAAATATTTTATAGTGATAGATAATTGTCAAATATATATATATATATATAAATTTTTATTTAATATAGATAATTATTAATATATTTCATATTTTTAATTTTTTTTCACAAAATACTTAGTCAATAATTTATTTTATTTTACAATTTAATTGTTTAAATATTATGTATTTTTAATGTTTTTTCTATGTTAAGGTATAACATAAGGAGGAAATGCTTTAAAAGCTACAAGTCTCAAAGAAAAATCATGGCTCTAAGTTATATAGAAGATTGTTTTAAGTTGGTAATTTTTGTTCAGAGTGATCAAATCCAAGCCTAAAGTGAGCCAAGTCAGAAACTAACCCTTGGAAGTGTCTTTCCTTGCTCAAAACAAGCAAGTTACACATTTAGAACAAGTGAAATTCGCTCAAAGATGCCACATGAAAGCTTTGAGCAAGTGAAATCAGATATTATCTTTGTAGGATTAAGTCGACTCACTCAGATCGATTAATTTGGACACTTTGAGCGAGCAAAATTTACTCAAAGTCACCATAAAAGTGCTTTGAGTGAGTCAGAATAAGGAACATCACTGGAGCACATATAAACTCACTCAAAGCAAGTCACATGTGTGCTTTAAGCGGACACATCTAACTAAAAGTTTATTAGAAAATATTATAAAAAATAGGATCTTTAGAAGGTTTTTGTATTCAAAATTTCACCAACACTTTTCTTAACATGATTTTAGAGAGATTAAAGAGAGTTCTTGTGAGGTTACTCATTGTTACAGATTGCTCAAAGGTCCTTTTTATGTTATATAATCATTAGTCATGAATGACTAAGTTTCTACAATTAGAGATTGTGGTAACTACTAGAATTATGTAATTTTTTTTTCATATTTTTCATTCAATAAAGTTATTATTCAATTAATTGTTTTATTTTTGTATGCTTGTTGTGACGTGATCAATCTATACATGGTTTTATAATTTTTTATTAAGGCTAGAAAATCCTTTTTAAAATTACGACTTAGATAAAATGTTGATGACATTTATTACCAAGGAAAGAATTATGATAAACCTTATTAGTCGACTTTCAGTCCCTGATCTTAATGTAAGATTGCTTAACAAAATTACCAAGGAATTTAGATTTTCCTTAAATAATCTATAATTTCTCACTAAGGAATTAAGGTTTAAATATAATTATAGGTTGTTGAATTAGCTATATAATTTCAACGTTGAATGAAAAATTAAGAGATTTTGCATGGAGAAAGTTAATGAATCAATTTTTAACTGTTCTCATCATCATAAGTTTAAATTCTTCATATTTTATTGTTTTATTTTATTTTTGCTAAATTTAATAATTCTTGTTGAACAAATCTATATTTTTATCAAATTATCTGTTTAGTACCAAAATTATATTAAACAATTATAACTTAAGTTACCATGTATTTGATAACTTGGACTTTTGTTCAATTTACTAGCTACTATAATTGATATACTTACCAAATATGTATCAAGTAAATAGTATCGTTGTCGGGAACTTGCGACATATAATTGTTTAATTATTTTATGCCACTAGATTAGGTTTTTATTTTATTTTATTCTTAAATTCATTAATTTTTAAATTTAATCAAATTATATTTTAATTTTTATTAGATCTCACTTGTTCTTTTTAGCCTAAACTTTGTTTATGCAAGATGAAATTTTAGTCGCAGAGATATACTATGATTTGAAAATCAAAAGGATTTGTAGAAGAAACAATGTTCTGTGAAAGAGACAAATATAAGCAAGCCAATACACTTCAGAATCAAAACTAATGACAGAAGAAGGAACAAATTAATCTTAATCTAATCATGTTCATCTTTTTCCTCCTCCACAACTATAGAAGAGGGCAATGGCTAATTGCATGACACACTATGGTCCTAGGGGGTTCAAAAACATTGCATGACCTACTACATTGTTAAATCTAATAAGGGAAAATCAATTTTCTAGAGCCAATAACAAAGATCCCCATACATACTTGTAGGAGTGTTTAATAAAATTATCAAGAAATTGATATTTTCTTTAAACAACCTAGAATTTTTCACCTAAAAAATTAGGGTTCAAATATAATTGTGAGATATTGAATTAATCGTATAATTTCAACATTTTATGAAAAATTAAGAGGTTTTACACGAAAAAAGTTTGTGCATCAATCTCTACTTGTTCTCATTTTAAGTTTAAACTCTTCACAATACTATTTTATTTTATTTTCACTAAATTTGACAATTTTTATCAAACAAATTTATATTTTTATTACAATATTTATTTAGTACCAAAATTATATTAAACAATTTTAACTTAAGTCCATGTGGATTTGATAATTTGGACTTTTGTTCAATTTACTACCTACGAGAATTGGTATACTTGTCAAATGTGTATCAATGACAAACTATAAAAATTGCTCTTTACACTAATTTAAGCTTAATTTTTAGTTATTAGTGTAATTCTTTTTATATTATCAACTAATTAAAAATCATGTCAATAAAATCTTTTACATTACAAAATTTAAATTTTTTATCATACATATAAATTCATGATTCAGTGAGTATGTAAAAAAAAAATTATATTATCATGTATCTTAATTATGAGGAGGGTTCAAAGGACATCAGTGTAACTTTTATCAACTATTTCATTATTCAATAACTTTCAATTAAATATGAAAATTTCAAAACTTACCATTAGATTAAAAATTCCTTACACCTAGATCATGTATAAAAAAATTATATTAATCCAAAATGATTTAATACCAAATTTTTATAGAACAAAATTAACATAATATATTTAATTATCTTTAAATTGTTGTTTAATTTTAACTAAATTTGAAGATAATATAAAGTTATAAGTCAACAATTGAATCAACAAAACTCACATTTAACATTAAATTATTGAACTGTGTAATAATTGATAAAAATTACACTTAGGACGTTTAAACTCTCCTCTTTAATTATACTTTTAAAAGGTTTTATGCATAATTTTAAAGTAATAATTTTAATAGGAGTTTGATTAATTTGGATAAATATTTAGTAATATTTGTATAATATCAATTAATTAATAATTACTTTAAGATTTAAATATATTTTTGATTCATATAAAAGCATCCATTCTACTCTTTAAATAAGTTAGTTCATACATACACCTCAATTTAAAAAATAAAAAAAAAACTTGCTTAATCTTCACTCTAATAGAAGTTCCTATGAAATAATTACTTAATTCATAAATTTATTTTCTCTCTCATACACATATACAAATGTTAAACAATTCAATAAAAAATGATTGTTTAATTTTCTAATTTCAAGTAACTCAAAATTACATGTAACATATCAAAATAATTTATATTTATTTTTTATTGTTAAGTAACTTTTAAGCAATTCTGAAAATGCTTTAAGTTTAAGGGTATTTTTTTAAGTCTTAGAATGAGTTTTTTTAGTTAATGTTGTTGGGCTTCGTCTATCTCTTGTTAATGTGGTTAATGGATTGTGAATATGTCTAATGGAAATGAATCATGGCACATCAATTAAGCTATTAAATTTTGTCATCTCATTTAACGAAGCCACGTCAGTGTCACCCAAATTTCACAAAAGTTTAACGCTGTCAGTGGTTCCTTTGCCTTACTCGTTGTCCCTCACGAGCTTGTCTTATTGGTATGTTTCATAGCTTACGCCTATTTGTTATGGGCTTTCTCAATCATACTAATTCTATAATTCACAATCTCTCAAATGTGTTTCTACCTCACAATATATAGCAATGGTAGATGACCCTTTTATAAACTGAATTTAAGATTATTCTAATATCATCTTAAAATGTTAATTAAAGCATAATTCAACTTTATAAAATTAATTTATAAGATAATGATTTCTCTTCAATATATATCAATGATGGATGATCCTTTTATAGAGTGAATCTATGCTAAACTCTGATATAATTGTAACTTTAAGTTTAATTCAACTCTATAAAATTAATTTATAAGATAATAATTACTATATATTAATAATTATACTATATTTGGTATGTGATTTCTAATATTTATCTTTCCAAATAATAATGTCAAAATTTAGTCACGTGGCGTTCACAAATAGGAAAAGAAAATGAGAACAAGAGATGAAAAATCACTCCACGTATACAATTCTGAATATAGGAATGTGCATGACACAGTATACAACAATGACAGCATACGTTTAAAACAACGAAAATAAATTAGTTTAAAATTTGTAAACGTCATACTGGAGTTTCTTTTATTAATAGTATAGATTCATAGTCATCCCATCCTCTAAACTAAATCTATTCAGCATTTGATCCACGAACAGAACGCAATCAAAAAAAAAAAAAAGTTTTGTTCTGTTTATTCATTGTTGTTCCACTATTTTCATTGAGAATTGAAAAAAAATAATAATAAATCATGCACTTTATCCTATTACATTTTTAATATATATCACACATAAGTTAACAGTCCAAGAATAAAATTGCCCTTTTTTAACACGTTTATCAAACGCTCAACAAACAGGATGACCCTATTATTTTGTCTTTTACAATTTAGAAATAAGCGATGTGTTCAATTAACTGGTTAATTTGGTCCATCCTTGTATAAGAGAAAGCAGCAATTATTTGGTATGTATCCTGTATGAAAGTTCCAATGGCTTCTTACTACTTCCTCTTGCTCGTTCTTGTCGGTGCAACCACTGCTTCTGGGGCAGAGCTATGCACAGACTTTTACTCATGCAACTGCCCAAATTTGTTGCCAATAGTGAAGAAAGGAGTCGCCAAAGCCCTTCAAAAAGAACCACGCATGGGAGCTTCCTTACTTCGATTGCATTTCCATGACTGCTTTGTAAACGTGAGTATATAATAATATAATTATACATTTAACTTTACTTCATATTATTCATTATCACACCACTCTCAGATGTGAGTTTTATCTTGATAACATAAAGAAGTGTTAAAAATTACACATTATCTAATTATATGACTAAAATAATATATATAAATGAAGAATTGGAAAATCTTTGTTGTATTTTATAAACTAGTTTTGTAAAATTAAATTAGAGTTTTAAGTTTATGAAATTAAGTTGGCTTACATACATAATGATATAATGATATGATATGAAGGGTTGTGATGCATCAATATTGTTGGATGATACAAGCAACTTTGTTGGAGAGCAAACGGCAGCAGCTAACAACCAATCAGCTAGAGGGTTCAATGTGATTGATGATATTAAAGGGAGTGTGGAGAAAGAATGTCCCAGAGTGGTGTCCTGTGCTGATATTCTTGCTCTGGCAGCTCGAGATTCAGTAGTTTATGTAATGTTCTATGATTCTATTTGTTTGGTCCCAGTTAGAATTATCGATAATTAATGTATTTTTGTGGAAAACATTTGCAGTTAGGAGGACCTTCGTGGGAAGTAGGGTTGGGGAGAAGAGATTCTACAACAGCAAGCAGAAGTGATGCTAATAATAGCATTCCCGCGCCTTCCCTCTCTCTAACTGCTCTCATCAAGAATTTTGCAAATCAAGGCCTCTCAGTTACAGACTTGGTGGCTCTTTCAGGTGCTACAATAAATGATCAAAGTGTCTCCAATCAGTTCAAATAAATGTTTTTTTTTCTCCATTGGGTTCTAAAAATGGTTCTTTTACATGTGCATCATAGATTTCTTCTTAAAAAATATTTCTAGTAGAAAAAAAAATAACTATTTTCATAATTTAAAATGAGATTATACATTAGTTAAACATTGTGTAAAAGCTAACATGAGAGTTTCAATAAATTAGTTATATATAAATTGGTTTATTTTATTTTTGTTTGTATTACTTTTCTCAGAAGTGCTTTTAGAACTATCTAAATGTGTCCATGTAAAACCCAAATGTGATAAATATAAAAAATTGTGGAATGATTATATTGACACACATGAACTTTCTTGCAATACTAATTTATGGGTTGTATACCAAGTAAAAATTGAGATTAAATAATTTCACAAAAGATGACCGATGCAATAAAAAACATTGTAACTATCATATTGAAGTACATTTTTTTTTTTGAGAGGTTGAAGTACATATTTTTAACTTTAAAGAAAAATACTAAAATAGTTTTCATATTTCATTGTTTTTAAAAATACCTACATGATTGCTTTTTGTAGACATTATAATTAAAGACTCACTTTTTCTTTCAAATAAGCTAAAAAAAAGGCACAAAATTTATTTCATTTCATGTAATCCAATACAAACTCATTATTTACTCATCTGCTTTCCATTGAGGTATGAAATTAGAAACAATTTATCGTTTTCCTATTATTCGGTTTTCTTTCAAAATAATGTAATAAAATTCTTATACCTGAACACAAAATATATAATCAAGGACATAGTAATTTTATTTCATTTTATCTCAATTCCATTTGAGTTCATCATTCATTCTTTATTAAATATCCCATCATATTAATCTAGGTATCTCATGGTAATTTCTGTGTCTACACGTCAAAACGGATTCTAGTACTCTTAATATTGAATGGGTAACATAGCTACCCTTTCCTGGTCACTGTCACAAATGAAAGGAAATCAACCGGTATCAATTAAGGGTGTTGTGTTGCCCTATCTATTCGTCTGTGGTGTTCTGTTCCTCCTTATTGCCAAAACAGATGACCACTCTGTAGTCAGTTGTTCCAAAGTTGTGCTTGAAAAAATATTTTAGTGAATCTGGCGTTTCATTTTTTCCTGGAGAATATAATTTTTCATTTTGAAAAAAGAAAAAAAACACTTTTTCCTGTGCAATATCTTCCGTTTCCTGCACTGAATTTTGTTGTTCTGTAAGAACACTGGTACTAAAGAAATGAAAGAATCAGAATTCCATTTTAGCTTGCATATTCACCAAAGTGTTTTAACTCATTAACAGTAGCTTTCAATAACAGGGGCACATACGATTGGGCTGGCTCAATGCAAAAATTTCCGAGCTCACATCTACAATGACTCCAACGTTGATCCCTCATACAGGAAGAACCTGCAGAGCAAATGCCCCAAAAGTGGAAATGACAATATACATGAAGCCCTTGACCACCAAACTCCAATCCATTTCGATAATCTATACTTTCAGAATTTGGTGAGTAAAAAGGCTCTTCTTCATTCCGATCAGGAACTGTTCAATGGCAGTTCTACTGACAATTTGGTAAAAAAATACGCTACAAATACTGCTGCCTTTTTTGAAGACTTTGCCAAGGGCATGGTCAAATTGAGCAACATCAAGCCTCTCACAGGAAGCAAGGGCCAGATCAGAATCAATTGTGGGAAAGTCAATTAAACATAAGCAAGTGATGTATATGTTTAATATAAATTCAATTTCCCTCCTCCAAAATTATGTCAAATAACTTTATCCTCGCACCCTCAAGCAACCTGGTTTATCATCAATAAACTACCTAGTTTTATATGCATATCATACATGCACATGACTTTTGAGACAAGCATATCATCATCCCTGCTAACATATGCAATGAACATAATCATAAGACATATAGCATCTATATGAACGACGATATGCCACATTAAGAATATCAGCATCTAAGTCTGCTTTGAAATCTATATATATCTAGCTATGTATCCAGAAAATTTGTATCTCTTTGCATTTGCCCGGTAAGGTTTTTAAAGAATCATCAAATTAAAACGAAGCAAGACATTAAAACCAAATATTCATTAAATATAAGAATACTACCACACTACTAAAAGAAATTTACAAGAGAAATAAGAAAGAATTTCCAAGGACAATTAATGTGTTAGACTAAACGGTTTAAACTTTGATTGTTCCCACTAGACTATTACAAAAGATTATTAAGAACTTACATACATACATTTGGTCAAAAGAGATGACACCGAGGTAGTTACTTCAACGTGAAAATACTATACCACAACTATACAACCTTCCAAGACAAAAATGTTTCAAACTGCTATATATAGTTTTTTTTACTTCTCTACGCTTAATCCAACTCATCAGAGTCATCATCAGATTTAGCCTCCACTAGCAGTTCAAATTCGTCAATCTCTTTAAAGTATGCTTTCTGTTTTTCAATAAAATCTTGCACCTGAGGATCCTTGAACATATCTTTTTCAGATGACAAAGCACGCTGTTTCTGAAAATGTAGCAGATATGCATCAGACACTGGCAAAATATCTATTTTAACATGATTGGATATGTAACTGAAAAACAAGAAATATGCAGAATCTATGGTCTATAAGAAAGATTAGCACATTTCTCCTGCCAAAAGAAAATGTCATGTGTAGGGGGAAAACAGAAGTACATGAAGATAGAAAGTACTGGAAAATCAAGTAGGTTAATAGGATGATATTCTAATATTATATTTATATTTTTAATTCCCTAAATACTAGATAATGCCATTTGTAGGGACATCCTTATTTTAATCTTCTCTATAGTTTTTTGGCTCTTTAATGGTAGAAATCTCTCACTGAAAGCACAAATGATAGGTAACAAAATACTACTCTATCACTATTCTTATATTTCTACCATTAAAGAGCTAAAAAACTATAGAGAAGATAAAGATAAACTGAAATATTTTCATTCCTCCTCCAAAGTTACATTATTTATTACTCAATAACTATAAGGATGACCCAACAAGTGTCATCATTTAGTATAAAAATATAAACTATATACAATATTAGAATATCATCCTATTAGCCCACTTGATTTAATTCCCTTCTTTTGGGTCTTGTAAGGCTCATCCTATCATCAACCCGACAACTATTTCAATGATTTTAATAGGACAGTGAGTAATTTGTAATGACAAAGGAAATCTAAATAGTTAGGAATCACAATAACTATCTGAGATTGAATTTTGATCAACTTCCATTGTACACACTTTTAAACTATTCCAAATGCAATAAAAAAAGGTGGTCCAGAGAACAAGACTCCCACTATATCTTAATGAATGGATAGATTTTATCCTATACAACATGTGACCAGGTGGCAATCTTACCATTGCATAAAGCTCACCCTTCACACAAATTCAAATCCTACAAATAGTGAAAACACCCATTATATTTTAGATGTGACTCATGTGAGTAAATTTTACAGTTCTTCCTTTTTCTACAATTGACTGTGTAGTTTCATAAGATAAGACATCAAGAGAGGTTGGCATAAAACTGTTTGATGATGATTAGACAAAAGACTTGAGATCAATCATGCCATGGAGATTGACATACTCACCAAAAAAGCAGGAATACTCATCTTAAACAGTAAATAAATAATCCTTGGAAAATGCTCATTGCAATATAACTAGAGCCAGAGGGGTTTGAGTTTCCTAATAAAATCACAGAAACTTGGAAATTTAATAGTAAATTAACATACCTTTGTACGAGGAACTGTCAATGCCTTGGCTTTGGGTAGGTTCACACCTTCAAACTCATCATTTTTTTCACTGTTTTTTCATTACAAAATCATACACAACAATAAGTACACGGTAAAACATCCTAGAAAGAGACAATAAAAAGAAAAAATCAAACCCAGTTCCCTTTATCAATTCAAGATAAGAGATATAATGAATCTATCCAACTATAGCAAAGATACCAACAAAAAAAGAAACCGGAAAATTTAAAGCAATGCACTGACAAATCAGGACAGATTACATAGGTGAAAAAAAAGGGTAACTCTGAATCAGGAATCTATTCAGGAAAGCTTGTTACAATTCTACATCTATTGGAAGGTCAATGAAAAATATTTTTAGTCTTTTATTAAAATAAGAAATAGAAAATAAGTTTTAGAGTAAGTTTGTTAGAATACTTTAGAGAGGTCCTTTCACCCGAAGAGTGGTAGTAACCAATTACCGAGTATTGGAGAGCTTGAAATTGGGTGTCCTACTTTCAGGAACAGCCACTGCCTTCCCTTTATCCCTCCTTCGTTTTCTGGAACAAGTCCTTCGGCTGTAGACTACTGAAATAGGCTCAGAAGCTTCAACATCAACAGTCCCTAAACCCAAAAAAAAAAAAAAAAAGGAATCGCAATGTTTAAGCACAATAGAGAAAGTTGAAACATAATTAGAGACATTATCTAGGGATGAGTGATTAAATTACCGTGGAGAGGTGTTGTGGAGGGAGTAGGCGGTGAAAGAGAGGTAGGGTTTGTGACAGTATCGAGATTGGTGGTGGTAGAAGAGATGGTTTTAGGTTTATTGAGTGCGGAAGAAGAAGAAGAAGAAGGAGAAGAAGTAGGGTTGGTTTTGTGAGGTTTGAGGGAAGAAGAAGTGTTGGTGCAATCGGAAAGAGGCTTTCTGCGTCTTTGGTTAGCTTCCATTACTACTGCTGCCTTTGGTTTTCCATTCACAAATATGCTTATTCTTCTGCGTCCCTCTCAAATTGCGGGAATTTATTTTACTTTAATTGCAAGTTGGTTCATGATATATACATTTTTTTTTTTTTTACAAGTATATTTTCTTTTAAAAAATTAATTAAAATTTTAAAATATTTTTAATTTTTTGTTTTAAATTTTTTAATTTTATATTCATAATATTTAATTTAGTATTTTTTTAATCATTTTTTCTCTTTTTTTCAATTTTTATATACACCCCTTTATTTTTCTTTCATCCCAACAATATGTGAAATTTGAAAGAGAAAAAAAAAGTATGTGAATAAAAAAAAGAAAGTACTAAATTAAAAGTTAAAAGTGTAAAATTAAATTTTTTTAAAAAAATTATAATATTTTATAAAAAATTTTAGAAAAGAGGTGTACTTATAAAATAAAATAAAAAAGTGTATATATTATGAGCCTTGCAAATTTAGATAATATGGGCTACAACCTCTACATGATATGGCCCATATTCGGTGACAGGCCTTGTCAAATCCAACATGGATTTGGGCTTCCTCTTCCCATATTCAATTAGATCATAATATATACACTTCCTTTTTTTATAAGTACATTTATTTTTAAAAAAATAATTAAATTCTTAAAATATCTTTAATTTTTATTTTTCTATTTTTTTTATTTTACACTCTTTAACATTTAATTTAACATTTTTTATATATTTTTTTCTCTTATTTTCACATTTACCTCCTTAATTTTTTTTACTTCCACCTATTTTGATAGATAATTTTAATTTTTTTTAGTTTTACATTATTCTTTTTTCTTTCAGTTTTCTCACTGATTTCATTATTCACATAGTACTCTAAAATAGTGAAAATATTTTTTTTCATAACATTAAATTTAATGTTAAGGTTTTTGGAGGGGTGAAAGGAAAGGAAGTGTTGGAAAAAAATGTGTGTCTAGTTTGATAGAAATTGTCGAAGAAGCTACACGTACCTACAATGTTGTCGCCTATCAGTTCTATGATTTTGGTGCATGTGAAAAAGTAAAAAAAGTGAGAAAATAAAAGAATAATATAAAAATCGAGAGAACTAAAACTACCACTAAAATAAGTGAGAAATTGGAGGAAAACAAGATAGTGCATGTGAAAACTGAAAAATAAAAAGAAGGAGGTGTGTGAAAATAAAAAATAGTAACTTGAAAGTTAGAGATGTAAAATTAAAAATTTTAAAAATAAAAAAATTATAAATGTTTTAAGATTTAAAAAAAATAATAAAAGAGGTATACTTAAAAAAAAAAAAGAGAAAGAAAAAAAAAAGAGGTGTATATATCATTATCCATTCAATTATTCATATACCCAATCAAGATTACTATGACACTATCCACCCTCTATATTATTATTTAAATTGCTCACCTGTTAAGAAAAACAATTATTTGACCTGAATACTCTAATGCATATATGTTTACATTTTTTATATATTTTTTTTATTTATTATTTCCTTTCTTTTATACCTTTTTCTTTCTATATCTTCCATCCATACCCAATTATTGACTTTTAAAAGAAAATGGAATGTATTATAAATTTTTTCTTAAAATTTAAATCAATATAATTAGACCAAAAAAATTATTTAATTAGGTGTAAAATAAAATGCAAAAGGGACAAATATCAATGATTTACTACATGAACTTTTCTAGTTTTTATTTTTACATTGTTTATATTTAGAGGTGTTAAACTGATTAGAGTGAGTTGAACTAACTTGATATATATAAATTTAATGTTATTTTAGGTTCACTTGATTTGATTTATATGTTCTTTTTAATTACTATTTTTTGGCTCAACCTGACCCATGTCAAGTCATCAGGTCAAATTGACCTAACTAAAAAATACATTTAAAAAATTAACATACTTGGTATTCAACAAGACTTAAGACCAGGGGACAACACTAACTGTAAGTAATAAAGGAACAAATGATAACTTAAAAGAGATAACAAAAATGTCATAACAAAAAAATACTAGCTAGATAAATATATTTGAATAATTGAGCAAGAAAAAAAATCACATAATAAAGAAAAAGAATGTTTCTTACAAAGTGAAGTGGTATCCTGTAATTTTGTGGTCTAAGCAGTGATGGCAAATCATTATTGTCACTTCGTGAGCACAAGTATGAATGTGATTGTGTCTTTGTTTACTTCAACAAACAAAACAAAAATGATGAGTCAAGAGGTCAAGCCATCGAGGGGGCAATGGATCCATGGGAGTAATAGAATTCTCAAAGCAATTAATCTTAACTCTAGGTTTGAAATTACAACTTTTTAAACAAATATAAAAAGTGTAAAATGATTACTATTGTAGTATTGTCATATTTCATGCTACTGTTTTTATACACATATTATAGATTGATATTGATTTAAATTATTTCACTTTCTATTTTAATAGGTCGGTCTGACTTAAGTTCATTTGGCAAATCAGGTCAAAATGGTCTAATTCTATCTTGGTCATCTTTTTTAAAAACCTAGACCAACCTTATTTATGGATTGACCATATTCAAGTTAATAATGTTACAATTGTGGAGAAAAGAAAGAAATCGAAGGAGATTGAATATGTTAATAAAAAAAACTCAACACTTTTCAAAATAACAAATTAGTGACAAAACCTTACGAGTGTAGATGAAGAGCTAAGCAAGAAAAACACATTATATTTTTATATTAGTTCATCTCAACCATTGAGACTATGCCCAGTTTTTAATTAATCCAATTCAGGTTCTACTATCTTTTACAGAGATACAAATATTATTTCACAAGTCACTTCTACCTCAACTTAAGTATTCTTTGACTATTCTCTTTAAGTAACTACCTTAATGCTTATATTAAATGTATTTCACCAAATTGTCACTTCTTATTTTATTAGGAAAGTTACTTGTCACCTTTTAGGTACTAAAAGAGGGGAATCATACGCGTGAATGTTCAAAACAATTTTCTTTTGAGATTTTGCATACTTTGAGGGATATACTAGTCATTCTTTTCATGAAAAACATGTATTTTATTCGTTAGTGAAGTGTGAGTACTAAATAAGCTTTTTTCCTTTCAATTTGTTAAGGAGTCATGTAAACAAAAATGGTTTTGTTAGCATACATCATAGATGATATAAATACAAAGCATATGTCTTATAGATGAAGTGTTTCGTTTGTTAAACTTAACGTCATAATAATTGATTGTCTAATTACTATTTGTCATATAGCTTGATTTAAAAAAAAAATTCTATACAAATATTTATATTTGTTATCATTAAAAGCTTAAAGTCCGACAAATCTAGGATTATCTTGAACATAACGACTATAATTTCTATTTCTCATTTTTTTATTCTATCATTAATAATTTAAAAATATTCTTACAAATACTAAATGTTATACAAACAATCAATAAGAGAGAAACTTAGTGGTGGGAAATAGGGATGGCAACGGGGCGGGGCGGGTACGGGTTTCATGATACCCGTCCCCGTCCCCGCAAGTAAAACTCATCCCCATCCTCGTCCCCATACCCGTCGGGTATGGATTTTCATCCCCATCCCCGTCCCCGTCGGGTATCGGGTATACCCGTACCCGTACCCGTACCCGTCAATTTTTTTAAAAAAAATAATATTTTTAAATTATTTTTTGTTATTATATTATAATTATAATTAAGTTATTTTTTTATCTCACATTATAATAAATAATCATACATAAAAAAATATTAAATTTTTTTAATATAATTAAATTAAAAGTGAGTATTAAATTAAAAATGAGAACGGGGACGGGTACGGGTACGGGTACGGGGCGGGTAAGTACATACCCGTACCCGTACCCGTACCCGATTCAATATATCGGGTTTTACCCGTACCCGTACCCGTACCCGGTCAAACCGGGTATTCCCCGTCAAAGTCGGGACGGGTTCGGGTATTACCCACGAGTACGGGTATATTTGCCATCCCTAGTGGGAAATAGTTTCTCCAAAAACAATGACAAATCATAGCTAAATTTTTTTTATATTATTAAAAAAGGCTCACATCAATTACGGGTCTTTTAACTATTTTTGATAAAATATTATTATAATTAAATTTAGATCATACTTCTCCAATCATATCATGAGTTATCCACATCCTTATTTAATTTTGTTAAGTGATTAATATTACTTTCATTTTTTTATAATAATTGTTTAAGGTTGTTTTACATAAATTAATTAACATAATGATTTTTTATTTTCTATAATATTATTTTTATGTTTTCTATTATACCCTGTTTACTTCATAATAAATGCATAATTGTTGTCACGTGTAAATTAATTAAAAACTAGGTGAGATCCAAGAGTATAATTGGTAACATAACAATTAATCTTATCTTAAAATTAAAAAATGACAAATAAATAAAAATAAAAAAATTACTAAAAATTCAACAAAGAAAAAGGAAGAAAGAGTAAAAAATTAATAATTCAGATGCAAAGAACTAAATAAAATTATATTTTTTCATAAACTTATACTTAAATAGTTAAATATTGTATATAGACACTTTTTCACTACAATTTCTATAAAATTATAGATAAAATTAACATATAAGTATTTTTATATTAAAAATAATCACAACAATGGTCATATTATAAATTTTCAATTTTTTAAAACGTAACACTGTAATAAAATAATTAACTGCATAAATATTATATTAAAATAAATATATCAATAAAAATAATTATCACAAAATTATTTAACTTGAATTTTGAGAAAAAGACATATATAAATCAACTAACCAACAAATTAAAAATGTGAAGCTAGCCAAAAAATTAATGACCTGTATAAGCGGTTGATCAATTTAAAAGAATCTAATTAAATTTGAGTCCAACCTATTAATGGTAGCCCTCTTAGAACTAGTACACAATGGGTCAACTAGCTTATTTTATCAACTTTTAACTTGTTAGATGAATTATTAGGTTGTTAATCGAGTCACACAAATCAGTAAATTATTGATTGAACCTTGCAAACCAATACATATACATCCATACACATGCATTGATACACATTTATAACTAGGATTTTATTTTGTGTAACACACATAATTAATTTTTATTTTATATACTAAATAAGTACTTTCTTTATATATAAATTATATTTTAACTTTATGATAAATAACTTATATTATAATATAAAAATATTTTTTAAACTATTGATACTTTTTTTTTTAAAATATTGAAAGTTAATTTAGAAATAAAATTGACAATGATAAAATTAGAAGAGATGAAAAATTACGAAAATTTCTTAAAAATATTATCTTTAAAGAATAAGTTAAAGATGCTATTGTTGAAAAATAATTTCTAATAACAATGTTGTTCAAGAGAAATAGAATGATTATTTTGCTGTAAGAGTAAGTATCAACTGAATTACAGTACTTAATAATTCATAATTTACATTTAATTTTAATGTTTAAACCTTTGAATTAATTGTTTTTTTATTTGAATTAATATAGTAAAGTATAAATATGTCAAATTTTGAAGAAAAAAATTTGTTAACGAAATTAAAAATTTAAACTTTTGATTTTCTTTTAGTTCTCCGGTCTAAATGTAATAAGTATTTTTTTTAATGAATCGCATCAACTCTAACTGCTAGTGCATAGTTAATTTAATATGTTCTTGTCACTTGTCAGTACTATCACATGTGATCTAAAACAATTCTACAACAAGTCTTTTTAAAATGATATAAATTAAAAAGATATTTTTGGAGTTTGAAAAAAATTATTTTAAATTTAAAGGATTAAAAATATATTTTAATATATATTTTTTTGAAATGTGAACAAAATTCAGTAAGTTCACTTGAGCTGGTACATGTGGGTAAAAGTAAAGTAATTGGGTGATTTGGTTGAGAAAAGCAAAACATCCTTCAAAAGAAGAAAACCAAACAGCGTAAGCCTCCTGTTTAACCTTTCCAGTGTTCCAATAAAACAGACAGAAACCTTGTAAACTAAGAAACCAAGGGGCCACAAAAGATGATCAAATTACAACCTCACCCTCTTCCTCTCATCTATAAATACTCACTCATAACCTTTCATCAACCCACCTAGCTAGTGGCTACTAAATTTCTAAAGAAGCACATGGAGGCGATTCAATCCTGGGTTTCAAAGCACAAGCTAGTAACAATTGGTAAGTACTTAAGCTTCTCTATTGGACCAATTTCTAGAGAAATTAAATTATAAGGAAATGAATTGGTGTTGGTTGTAGGGGGACTGTGGGCCTCTGGAATTGGGGCATCCCTTGTGGCCTATTCACGTACAACCTCTCCAATCAAGCCTAGTCTTAGGCTTATTCATGCAAGGTACATGTCCCACAAATAGTGTGTTCCTTAACTTTGAGGTTGCACCATTTATTTTTCATTTATCTTTTGTAGGTTGCATGCCCAAGCCTTGACACTGGCAGTCTTGTCTGCTGCCGCGGCTTATCAGTACCACGAGAATCGGGCTGCTCAGCCCAAACCGAAGGCCCAGAGTCCTGCTCCGAGTGTGGCCCACCTTCTTGAAAGGGAGCTCCTAAGTCCTTTCTAATGCATATTTATTTATGCATTATTATTTCACCTAAATGAGGAGAGGGTCCTCTTCCTCTACCATCAAACTTTATGTAATCTTTTTTTAATTATTATATTTATGAGAACCAAGGGGGGAAATAGATTGATCCATGTTCTAAGAGAGATCACCATCCTGCGAGAGCTATGTTTTAGTTTCATAAACACTGGATCTTCTTGAAAAGAGTTGGTGATTGAATTGTGTAAAGCCCATGTTAAAAGACAAGTACTACTTCTATCTTTATTTGTTTTTAATTGTTTCTTGTGAATTAGTTAAACCTCTAATCATTCTAACCAAGAAAATGGACCTCTAATTACTTTGTTTGGCCCGTTGCACAGCACAACTCGCTTCAGTTATTAAACAGTGCCTATGAAGTATATGGACATGGATTATCTAACACTTTTTAAACATTCATACTTTATGTATGTCAAACATGATATTATTAGGTATCGAATTGTTTTTTAATTAGTTTAAATACTCGAGTCCATACTTTTAATGGAATTCAGATATTAGGTAACACTTTTATATGAATGGACGTATCATAGTATTTTTTTTTTAACTTTTACAAAAACAAAAAAAAAAATGTCTCACATTTTTATTATATTTATTATGGCGGAAAATATAAAACTAAATACGTTGACTTAGATAGCAGAATATATCTTTTTTTTTAAAAGATACAGTATCATGTTAGATACCGGAATAATGAAATAATATTTCATAGCTAAGTTTAGAAACTAACAACAATTATTGACCTGGAAAATCCTAAACGAAGAAGGGAAAAACCACTAACAATAGTAGATAATAGTTTTCTCTAAATACGTGCCTCTTAATACAAGGAGAAAACAAGATAATAAAAACACTTTCTCTTGAAAGTAGAAAAATGTACACACTAATCAATGGAAAAATTACGCATATAGTATGAAAAAAAGAGAGGAATCATGTTACTCTAACAAGTATCTCGTCTTTAATTGTTAAATTTTTTTTTAAAAAAATAAAGAGAGAATAACTATTTTAAAGTTACCTAACAAGAAGAAAGACGAGGGAAGGGAATTATATTATTTTAATTCATCATTATCTTTTATTTTCTTTTAATTTAATATAATAATTATACACATTATGTGTGCATAATTTTTCAACAATAATTACACTTAATATATATATATATATATATATATATATATATATTTCAGTAATAATTACACATTATGTAATATAATTGATCAATAATTATTATATATATTTTAATTTTTTATAATTCCTTCTTCATTTCCTTTTTCTTTTTTATCTTTCTCTTTCTTTCTCATAACATCTCATTTATGTTGTGTTTAATAAAAAAATAGAAATAAAAAGAACAGAATAAACGAGAAGGATAATAGATAAAAAATAAATTAAAAGTTGAAATTGTTTGATAGAAGGGAAGTAAAAAAGAAGAGCGGGAAAGATAAAATTTTAATTATATTATATTAAAATAAATAAATAAAATCAAAAAATTGATAAATTTAAATATTTTATTTATTTTTATCAAAAAAATAATTAGTTTTTTTTATATATTAACTTATTTTTTAATATATATATATATAGAGAGAGAGAGAAAGAGTTATAATTACACCGGTATAACTTTTACTAAGTGTTACACCACTCAATAACTTTATATTAAATGTGAATTTTGTAAATTCAACCGTTAGATTAAAAATTCATATTACTTTATATGTGTATATCAAATTTTATTAAAATTGAACAACAATTTAAAGGTGATCAAAGTGTTCATATTTTAGTATATTTTGAAATAAATATATTACATCAATTTTATTTTATAAAAATGAAGTATCAAATTATCTTGAATTAATATAAAATTTTGTATATATGATTTAAGTGATATAAACTTTAAATTTAACGATTAGATTTATAAAATTTGCATTTAATATAAAGTTATTGAACGGTGTAATATTTAGTAAAAGTTATATCCGTGTTATTATAACCCTTCTCATTTTAAAATATATAAATTATTACTGAAACTTTTAAATTTAACACTACAAGAAAAATGCTGATTTCTGACGGAAATATGAACTCTTGGATTATCTTCATTTCAAAATACACTAAAATATGAACTCTTGGATTATCTTCCAGTTGTTGTTCAATTTTAACAAAATTTGATATACTATATATATATATATATATATATATATATATATATATTTAAGAATAATGGATTATGTTCGTAAACATAATCAATTATACAAGGAAACGTTTACGTAAAAATTGAAATTTTGCAGCAGATGAATACTAACATTCGCGGATGAACAACAACTTCCATGCAAATCTTCTCACTTTTGTGGGAAAGGTTTTTTATTTTATTTTATTTTTACGGATTTCTTTGCTTTTCTTCGCTCTTCTTCACTGCTAAATAAAGTTGGAACAGTGCCTTCTTTGCCGTTCCATTCTCTATTTCTCTTCCCCCTGACTTCTCTTTTACCAAACACATCGTTAGTCTCCTGCTCCTCTTCTGATTCTCTCATTACTCAAGATATATTTGCCCCAAAAAAACAGAAGATACAATTACCATTTTCATAATATTGTAAGGTCTCTCCATTTTCTTTCTAATTATTTCTTAACAAAAATAGAAATTAAAGGAATATTATCTCATTGTGATTCGAGTTGTGATGTAAATTTTCACATTTATCTTGAAACAAAAAATATTAACTTTCACGTAAAATTTATATTTGACGTGGAGAGAGAAAAAAAAATAGCGTTAAAAAATGAATATCAAACACTGTCATATTCTTATTGTTTGAATCAATAAATGTATTAATTCTTATTAATTAATTTCAAATTAATAATTAAATTTTGCTTCATTAAATTATGAGAGTTATTTATGCCTTTCAATTTTAAACATGATATCAAAATATAATAAAGATTTATTATCATTAAAACACTTTATTTGAATTTTAAAAGTCGAATCCTTTTTTTTTTCTTTTCTATTTCGCTACAATATACTATAAATTTTTTTTTTTAATTTATATAATTTTGATTTTTGCAATAGTTGATCAATTATTATGAATCTTTTAATTATCAGTTAAACTTAATATATTTATTTTAAAATTACAATTTAATTTAATTTTTTATATTTAGTCCCTAAAAAAATGTCCTAACTGTGCCCCTGAAATGGATGAACCTAAACTTTACAGCATTGTTTTGAAGCAAATAGATCATCTTTATAAGGCAGATCAAACTTGAACCCCCATATATATTGATGCATTCTTTCTTTCATCATGTCAGGAATTAATTCAGAGTATTTTTTTTTCTTTTTCACACAATTCATACAATCTAGAACCTCTGTATAATTCAAAGAAATAAAGGCCCAATATACTACTTAGTTCCCAAATTAATATGTTCTGTTGTTTACCATGGAAAGACCTTTTTTTAGTTGAAGGCGTGATGAAGAGCCTAAGCGACCGTGAGGTCACGTGGCTTCAGTTCATGATTAACTATATGCCTAAAATCTGCTTTAATTTATCACTTTTCTATTCATGGTTACAACATGTGTCAACTTTCATCGCTTGCGATTTCGGTAGGCCACATCTTGTACTAAACTCCGTTCCATTATTTCAGGTTTTATTAGTCTCACTCAGGATAGATTATTATATAGTTTAGGACAATCATTTGTTAATAATTTGGCAAATTTTTATCTAATATAATTGAAAATTACAATTTAAATAAAGTCAATTAGGAACACTTGACCCATTTCATTATACTTTTTTTGACCTGAAGATTGTTTCCGAAAGCTGGCATGTTGAAGTAAGCAAACTCAGTGTTAATGATCCATTCATTACATTGAGGGGAAGTAACTAATTATAATTTTTGACTCCTCATATAGGTATAGGAAAAAATAAAGATGCATTATATGCATTTGTGGATAATGCTGGTTCCATACATAAATTTGATCAACCATCAACTACTCTTTAATTTTCATTCTGATATATATAGCTGGCATATGTTTTCATTGAAAATTGGAAGCTGTCTTATACGACGCTCTGATTAATT